ACGGCGTGAGGGATTATTCTCCTGCTCCGCAGGGCTATGGGTACTCTCCCTACGGTGCTCCGCCACAGGACGCCTATTACTCCGCGGCGCCGCCCAGTGGGTATCCTTACAATGCTCCTACGCAGGGTTATGGTGCGCCACCGCAGGGCTACGGTGCGCCACAGCAGGGCTACGGTGCCCCACAGCAGGGCTATGGTGCGCCACCTCAGAGTGGGTACGGTTATAATGCGCCTCCGCAAACGGCGTCGTATGGGCAGGGGAGCGCGTACGGGTACGCGCCAAAAGAGGAGAAGAAGAAGAGTAAGTTTGGGGGAATGGGAACGGGATTGGCTGTGGGTGCGGTTGCTGGGGTTCTAGGTGGAGTCGCGCTTGTGGAGGGTGCTGAGTATCTGGAAGATAAGATTGCCGAAGATGCTGCGGAGAAGGTTGAGGAAGATCTCGGTTACGATGGTGATGACTTCTAGAGAATCATTGTCTCTTGTTTAATTTTATGCCAAAAGAGAACTGCGAAAACAAAATAATTTTAAGTTTTATGTTTCTTTATTTCCTTTCTTTCAGTTGCTTAGTTTTGGTGTGAGTTAAAAAGCCTTTCATTTATGACATCATTAATAATGCTCTTATCGAGATGATTTTCTGAAACATCAATTTCTTTACTTAATTAAGATAGTAACATAAAATTTTGAAAATTAAAAAACATACCTTACTATTTATATTAAATAATTATTTAATTGACATCATTATTTATTAAAATACGCCTGGGCAGGGACAGTCATTTGGGGAATTCTGAAGAGAATTCTGGAATGAATTGGATAGCACCGAAATGACCTGGCACTAATTGATGAAAAATAAACGTAAGGATTTTTTTAAGGAATTAAAACATCAGGATAAACAACTGTTTAACATTGTTTTTTTGTGAGTTTTTGTTCTGTGAATATGCTGTTTTTGTTTGCATGTTCAAGGATTGGATAGTAATGGGAAGTGTGAATTTTGTGGGGAGACAGCGTGTGGGGTAAGCATAATTTCCGTCCTCATTATTAAACCATTTATTGGGATGTTTCTCCTCGGTAAAATTTATTTTCTATTTTAATATAATATTGGCTATTGTATTCTTTTTAATTTTCTCTCTCTCAAAGAATTTTAAGTCATCATAGCAATTAAAAAACATATTGAAAAAATATATTTTCTTAAATTAAAAAAAAAACAAGTAAAGAAATGAATTTTGTCCTAAACTTTGAGTCTGTAACATTTAAAAAAAGTGTGTTGACTATGGAAGCGGGATAAAATATGAGGCATCTTTGTTTTCGGAAAGGAAATGGAGGCGAGTGACGACTATGTAGAGCCTCATGAGGTGAGGTGTTATGTGGGAGAGTGAGTATGTGAAGTGGCAAATTTTATTACTTTGACCAAACTGCCTCTCCTGCAAATTAATTTAATATTTTCAAAAGCTTCCACTTTAGACTTTTTTTTTTATGGTATAGATATTTTTTTAACTTTATTGACGTAAGGAAAATGTTTTCTCCGAACTAGAGCATTTTATTGCTCAAGTTTAATTTCCTTTTATGAAAGACTAAATCTTCATCATGTTTTTTATAATTTTGTATGTTGTTTGTTGTTGAAATTATGTTTTTTTCAAAAACTGATCCTAACAATTTTCTTTTCTAATTTTCTAGATTTGTTTAATATTTATAATAAATTATTTTATTAAAAATTTATAACATTTTGTAATTTATGTGAATATAAATTTAAAAACTATATTTAATTTAATATTTATAAATTAGTTAAGAATAAAAAATTTGAAAAATAATTATAATAAATAAGATAATTTAAATATATTGTAATTATGGTAATAGAAAAATTATCATAATAAAAATATAATTATATTTTGTAAAATTAGTTTTGATAAATGTATATTTATTTTGTAACATCTTATTTTTATAGTGTAAAACTATTAAATAAAATATTACAAAGAGAAGGTTACACCTGATTAACGAAAATCTCACCTTCACCCATGCTAGATTAATTGGAAAGACATCACCTAAACTCATAATCATTTAAAGTGATCATTGCAAAAAGAGAAAACAAGCACAAACAAACAACAACGCAATAAGGATAAGTTAATATTATAAAAGAATAAATCATACAATTATAAAACATCATATATTATACATACGTATGAATTCTAGACTTGACTAATCCGAATATATATATTGATGTCAGACTATAACAAGTTGTACATTTGTAGTGGTGAAGCAGCTGCTTCCCCAAGTTACCACATAAGATTAATCCGTCATCCACCTGTGGACAAAGAACACCAGACCATAGACTAGAAACTCCTGTTACTTCTTACCACATAATCCCCTTCTCTACCTAAGATGAAGTGATTATTGAAGCATCAGGATAACTTTCAAGGTTGAGTCCCTACATCAATACATTACTCTACTTGGAATAACCATCAATAATTTCACCTTAGAAACTCTTTTCAAACCATACTTCAATACATACATAACTACATGCATAAACCATCATAATATTCAATATATATTACCAAACAAACCTTAAAGTATCAACATATCTCCAATTCATAAGAAAAAAAAGTGAAAACTCAAACCATTAATGGTGCCCAACGCCAGACCTACAATAGGCAAGTGGTGTTGAGTATCCAGAGTGGCGCTCAACGTTCTATAACCTAAGGGCTCTCGAGTTTGATAGTTGAGCATCACACAAGACTGCTCGACACCATACCAGATAACAACAAATTATTGTACTGATTTAGATGCCCTTGAACCTATCTCAATGGCCAAACTAACTTCCTTAACACTAAGATTGATGCAGAAACATGTTTATGGATGAAATTGAAGACCACTTTTCTCATTTGATCAGAAACAAGATGCACTAGATAAACTCAACCACTCAAAAACACCTATAACCAATTATATACATTTTAAACCAGAAAATTGCAAACTAAGATTCTAAACAAGTCACAGTTGACTCAAAAACATACCCTACTTCTTCATTTTTAACTCATACTTGCTCATTTAGATTTCCACCTATTAAAACCCCAAAAAATGGACTAAAAGCAACCTAAAACTCAATATATTGACTACTTATCAACTCAACATCGGATTTATGGTTATTTGAAGTTCTATACAATTTTAAAATGATCCAAAAACAACTTCCTGACACAATTTTTAGTTCCAAAATCACTCGTTAAGAAATTCACCTACCAAAACCTCAATTTAGACCAAAATTCAGCCCAACAACATTCTTTCTTCACATTACTGTCAATTATATAACATATTATACCTCATATAACTCCAAAACAATAACATTGAAGATTCACATGAGTACCAATTCACAATCATATATATATATCAATAGACAACATTCACTCATCCATAAACAAATATCACTAAAAAATCCTCAATTGATAACATATTCAAACAAACATTAATCTCATAACCTATCAAACATACATTCATACTTCTTAAAGCAAAATTAAAACAATATTAGTTTCCTTACCTAACCGAAGACCAAACCGTTCTAGAAAGTCTAAAACAACTCCAACGTACAAAAATTCATATTTGCTCCTACGAATCATAGAAACACGATCAACACATTTAGGAACATTGATCAACAAAAAGTTTTATGTAAAGCTCAAACTTCACATTCCAAAAAAAAAAAGATAAATAGCATTCAAGGAAAACAAAACTAACTAAAGAAAAGAGCAAAAGACCAACTTACTCTATCTTAGAAACTAATCGGTTAGACTTAAGGATCTCGCCGCGAGACAATTCCCATTATTTTTAAACCACCATCACTTCTAAAATACAATTTTCTAGGTTTTTACATATTTCTTTAAATTAATTTATGTAATAATTTTATGTGTGTAATAAGTTAGACAAATAAAATTAAATAATAATATAAGTGTAGGTGGAAATATTTGAATAGAGATTTAATGTAAAGTTAAAATTTAGTAATGTGAAGGTAAAACATCTAGGTTTATTTATAGAGATATTAATTAAAGAAAATATTCTTAAAAAAAATAAAAAAGTTTTATTTTGAAAATTATGTAAATTTAAAATATAACAAAATATAAAAATTCATAATAGAATTTTATAAGAATTTTAAAATAAAAAAGGTGTAAAATTCGAAAATTCTAATTTAAGATCATATACATGTAACTATTTGGTGAAACTGTCAGAGTCATTAAATTCAGCAACAAAGTGAGATTCAGGTGGGTGCAGCGGATTGGATCGAGTGGATTTTGACGGTAGGATATAATTAACTTTTTCCAAAAATCTCGAGCCATTTCCTGCATGCACCTTCTTCTCCAAAAGTTTCTGAGTTTCAGTTTTTTCCTCCTTCTCTCTAAACTTCTTCTCCTTCTCTCTACAAATTCTTACCTTTTCTTTCTTTCGATCATCAATCAGGCAACGCCTGAGTCCTCCTAGTGTCAAGGGTTTCACTTTGCACCGATCAAGTTGCTGTTTTGAGCTAATAAGTTATCCTTTTCTTAGAATGTCTGTTTTCTGGCACATGCAAGCCAAGTTTCTAGTTGCATGAGTTTATTACCTCCTTCTATTAAATTCTGATCACATTTCTGGTCTTTTGTTTGATCTAGTTTCATCAATCGGTGAACCATAGGTTTATAAGATTTTTGGTGGTGAGCTATTTACTACAACTGTGAGCGTTCGGTTAAGTTAAGAGGTAAGGGAAGCTTGTAATTTAATTATGATTCTCTGGTTGTGAATGGTTGCATGTTCGAATGATGTTATGTTTGGTGATTAATTGATATTGAACATTGAAATTGTTGTATGTTAATTTGTATGTGTTAAGTGATTGATAAATGGCATGAACTAGGTAGAAATAGAGTTTGATTCTAATTCTGCAGTATTCTGCAGAAATTCTATAATTGTCACCGAGAGTCATTCGTGACCGTTCGATTTTCCATTAGTGCGTTCAATCTTGACTAGATTCTCCTTCTGTAGAGAATTTCAGTTAATGACCGATCGGTCTTTTATTAATATTGTCAACACTCAATTTTGTGCACGTGTTGCTTGAAAGCCTTCACCCTTCACTTTCTCTAAAATAAAGGATTTTCCCCAACAAACATTATCACTACCCTCATCAACAGCACCTTTACACTGGGGCAGATTGGCCTGACAAAATTTTTCTCGCTTGTGCTAGTTGGGTGATCCCTGAATCCATTGAGACAACAAAAAAATTTTCAAAAGGAGAATAAGTCCACTAGATTGAAAAACCCAACAAAAGGGCGGTCTACAAAGAAAGGAAAGGGAAAAATCACTCATGTTGAGGTCATTAGGTCGTAAATTAATCTTTTGAAAAGAAAGCAATCAAATTAGAAATATGGTGTGGCATTTTTTTCTCTACCAAAAACAAAATATATCCCATTGTCACCCCGTTTTGAAGCCAAATAAATCCTTTTTCTCAAATTATTCCCAAGCAAGGGTTGTCATCAGTATGAGTCAACTTAGGAATTGCAGTTGAAGAGCACTCATAGTCAACGGAGGATCTCTCACAATGGTAACCCAAAAACAAAAAAAAAAAAAACAAAAATCACAAGGATGATGAAAAAAATAAAAAAATGGAGTTCAAGAAAAGCA